CACAATTAACAAACATTCCCCTTGGTCTTGCAACATTGCTCGTCATGTGTTGAGACAATAAACCAAAAGAAAGTGTAGCCTTTCGCTTAAGGCCCAGTGCTGCCTGTGTGGTCACTGTGGATGACAACTCGCTTTGGCATCGCCATGGAGACACTGTTTCTTGGCAGGCAAACACAGCCACTGAAAACCGCCTTGAATGCTCTCCTGTAGGTTGGAATTCTCCACGCGTAAATAAAAGGGTTCAGACAACAGTTTATTAAAACACATTTGTTAGATACGTGCATAAAAAGGCGAAACCTTTCTAGATTTATGTATTTTGGGTTGAGGATCAACAAATTTAGAGCGATGAACTGTGGGGTCAACGATATAAAGAACAAAACGAGAATTACGAGAAATGTGAATATCATGTTGCGCTCCCTGATCTTATGGGCCACGTCCATTTGCTGCCTTCTCTCGTCGTCAGCTACATCTTGCACCTGATTATTGTGTAGGCGAAGTGCGCGGAATGTTTTCCAGTACACCACAGGCAATACAATCAGAGGAACTGAAACATGAAGATGACTGTACAGGGGCACAAACAGAGATACTGCCACTCCCATCATAGAGAGACTGGAAAATATCAAGGAATAAATCCAAACAGAAGCGAGAACTACTTTTATCTTCGTTTTGGTCACCCGAGCTTTGTAATGAAGAGGAGACGAAACTGCAAGCCAACGATCAAAGGACATTGCGGCTATGGTACCAGATGACACGATATTTGTCACAATAGAAAAGAAATTTACTAAAATTCGGACGCCAATGAGGTTTTCTCGCGTCCGGCCTCTTAAAATAGAGATATTGTAATAAAGGCTTGCATATCCAGGTGAAATACCCGCTAGGAGATCGCAGATACTCAGATTTACTACCAAGAGAGTTACAGGCGTGTGCAGGAGTCTTTGATTCCTGTTGGGATCTCGGTAGACGGTAAAAAGCAGCGTGACATTCGAAACAACTGTTGCTGTAGACAAAATAGTGTTCGCGACAGCAAAGAAATACGCGTTGTCCAACGCCTCATCAGAGTTCTCCATTATAAAGAAATCACGTTGCTATGTGTTCTCCTTCTTGATACTGATGAATGAACAAGCACTCTGTACACATCTTTACGTGCCTTTCTCATAACCGAGAGATAGCAATTCCAGATGTTTGATTTCCACTATTCTTCAAAAACAAAACAGTTTGAATATGTAAAAATCACAAAAATCTCTGCCATTTTGGTGAACTGTCTAAAGCAGTAATCATGCTCTTTATCGGCTTATTTATCCACTGATTGCCAGCATTTTTAGAGACAATAACAAATAACGAGGAACCTCTGATAACTGGACATTTCATTCCTTAATTGAAACCGATGAATAGGTAACATCAAAAGACTAGAACTAAAAGGCAATATAATCATGAAAACTACCTTGATGTAATGATCTCACCAATTCTTTTTGTAGTTGATGGTGAATCGAAACGGAGAAAAACAACCCTATCTAAGAACTATCTAATGTCTTGTTGAGTCGCTACCTCACCTTGACTGTATGTAAAAATTAGTTTCCAATTATGATACACCATGAAAATATGACGTGCATAGATAACTTAAAAGACGTTCAATATTATACAGCTTCTTCATCTGTACTTTGTAGCAATTAATGACCGCTCAACAGAAAAGATTGTCTTTCACGAGCAAAGATAATACGGTACGTTATGATTGCCGTATATAAAAGCTTGGTTGATTCAATTTATAATTATTCATATTGAATAGATGAAACGCCATAATCCGATTCTAGGTATGAGTGTTTTCTGGCACTCTTTTTTTTTTTTTTTTTCAGCAGGCCTTAATGAAGTCAAGGGAGAGTCATCACACTGACCTTCTCTTGCGTGGTGCCACCCTTCTCGTCTCGTTTTCCGCATAAAATTTCTTTATAAAACTGTTCTTGGGATCTGGAGACGTACTGCGAACCACCGATCAAAAGACTTCGTTTTAGTAGTGTCCAGTGACACGATGTTTGTCAAGGCGGCTTCAAAAATGAGAAAATTATGGAAGCCAACAAAGTTTTCTCGAGCTAAGATAGCTCACGCTAAAATTAACCTCTAGGATGGTATTGCGAGCGTTTGCTTATTCCCTAGATTTCTTTTATGAGCTTGATAGATTGTAATTAGCAACAGGGCATTGGAGAGTACAGCAGGCGTGGCTTCAATATATAAATCCAGAGAAGTTTGACGGACAAAGTGATCGCGGTTACTTTGCTGTCTCTGAGAACTTGACATACAGGAATTTCCTGCTAACTTGATCTTGCTCTCCTTCCCACGAAATGGACTTTACTAGCTAGTAAATAAAGGCTGATAGTTTCTAAAGAAAGTGTTTGGGGCTGCGTCGGTGGGGGTAACGAAATAATTTGGTCATATCAACAAAATTGAAATGGTAAATTGGCCACCGTACCGATTACAAAAGCTGACATTTCGAGCGTTAGCCCTTCGTCGGAGCGAATAGAGGAATTGTGGGTTGTGTGTGCTTTTAAAGGCAGAAAATGGATATAGGTTATTGGTGGGAACATGGCAACGAGAAAAACACGAATAAATTAGTGGAATGAGAAAAGCGTTCGTTGATACCTGTGGGATTTAGACCGCTGGTTTGAAAGATGAGCTTTTGTTCAAGAGTTTTACGGCTTTCCGTGCTACCTAAGTGTAAGGAAAGACCGCAGATTGCCATATGTTGCTTAGAATGATTAGGTAAATTAAAATGTCTAGCGACTGGTTTCGATGTGTCCTTGTCATTCCTCTCCACGTCTCGAAGGTGTTCTCGGAATCGGTCACCTAGTCTTCTGCCTGTTTCGCCGATGTATATCTTTTTGCAATAAGTGCAAGTTAAGCAATAGATTACATTAGCGGAGGTGCACGTGAAGTGATCGGTAATCTTAATGGATCGTTTCTCGGGACCCAAACGGACATTAAGAAAAATAATCTTTTTATTTCTTTTGAATTCGTTTGATTCAACATTTACTAAACATTAAGGCATAGGATGAGAAAGAAAACACTTAAATATTTAAAAATAAATATGAAAGGCTTTCAAAAGCTTTAAATCAGTGCCATTTTGATTCAAAACTGAATCCCTAATCCATAATAGTTTCGTGCGCCAACAAACCAACCTTTCGTAAACAAATGTTGTGCTGAAAGTTCTATGTATTTCAGATCATTTGTTATACTGGTAAAGGCCAATTGCTCGATTTACATTACAGGGCTCGAAATTGCGCCTGTATCGGGTGCATTTGCAAATAGAGATTTCGCTTTTGCGACTAAAATTTCTCCATTGGTAGCGATTTTGCGACTTTTTTACAGACTAGCTTATAAATAAATTATATTTAACAGCCTTGTGTCTTACTTGTTACTGGTTGCTGTAGTTTTATCCGAAAAATCCTGCGAAATTCAAGTTAAATGTTGCGTGCATTTTACCGTTGATTTCTTGTCGAGAAACGTATCGCGGGCGCACTTTTTCAGAAACGTGCGACGCTCATGAAATATCTAGGAGATCTTCGCTTCTAATTTTCGATATTTTGTTTGGGTTGGTTACTTTTGCGACTAAAAGTTTTCGAACTTGAAACTAAATTTTAGGAATTACTTGCAAATTGCGAGCCCTGCATTAATGTGTTTTTCTGTAACAACGCGTTGTCGAACCGTGGTCATACACTAGTTTATAGAGGTTTTGCACAGCAGCCATGTTGGATGGCAGGAACAATGAAAATATTTTGCATAAGAAAGAATATTTATTCCCATGGTTAAAATAATATATTTTTCCTGCCATCCAACATGGCTGCTGCGCAAAACCTCTATTGCGATGACTGTCAAGTAATAGTTATCACCTATGCCATGAATCAGTCCTACTTAATTATGAATTAAAGGAAATTACGCCTTGCATCCAGGAAAAGAACGGTTCCTTCCCAAAAACGTGTTCAAGCAAAGGCCGTTATCGGAAACAAGGGGAAAATCAAAACGAAAGTACCAATCACAAGTGTGCCATATGTTCGAACACCTATTAAAGATGAACATGAATGCTTCCGGGCTCACTTTTGCAAATTCAAATAATTTTTTTTAATTCCTTTTTCCCAAACCCTCGACCTAAATAACGGCTAAGCAAATCATCTTTCGACCCTTTGGCCAATTTCGCCAAAGAAATAGGAATTGATGTAAAAAACCCACCAACCTCTGAAAGTGAACCTGTATGAAAGATTGACTGAAAAACTCAAAACGTTCTTAGCTAAAGTTACAGAGATACCAGTAATTCCCCTAATGTTTTCTACTATTGAAAAATCCAGATCACTGAAAGCAGTACACCACATCTTCTATTTTTTCATCAGGAAGACAACGCACTGTGACCGCCGGGAAAAACACCAAAAAAGTGTTTTAAGTTAACTCGCCGTCGGTTCTTGACTATTAGGGAGCTTTAGCATCGCGTTTACTGCAAACGGCAAACGGCTGCCAGTGGTTTGAGGTTTCCCGTCTGCCGTCGTCACCAAAATTGAATTTAGCATGGCGTTGACGTCTTTTGGCGGGAAAAGCCTACCTTTAAGAGCCTTTTTATCTTCTTCAAGNAGCGCTCTATCCATTGGGCTAACTGGACGGTAAACAGTAAACTGTTAAAACAGGAAAAGTTCTATTAACATGGGGTTCTTGCAAAGGAAAAGCAGAGACGTTTCTGGTAAGCCCTAATGCAGGGCTGCACCTCCCCACTTTGCAGCTTCAAATACCTTTTTGATGACCAGGACAAGAAAAAACGCAGTCTTACTGGAAAACGAATTTTATGCCCTTCTCCAAAAGAGTCAAGACACCTATCCCAATCATGTGAAAAATATTTTCCGTCAAAGTGCCTCTCTTCAAGGTAATGCCATTCCCCAGTGAACTCGCCTTTACCCTCAAACAAGTGTTTGAAAATGTGAGAAGGAAAATGGATTGTGACTGGAAGGCAGCATTTAGATTTCAATCTTCCTTCTACTGCTATTCTGAAGCTGTCTACTGCCTGAACTACTTCATTCTTTCCTGGCTGTGGGTTTTCAAACAACCTAACAATACAGAATCAGGGACTTTATTTTACGGAGGTTTTTCACTATCCACACAAATAAGAGACTGTGTATGCTTCTCTGCATTTCATTCTATGTCTCCTAAGCTTAAATAATTTAAATAAGTATACAAGTTTATTTAAAAATTTAAATAGGGGGGAAACAAAATTATTTTGCATCAATGTCAAAGGTTCACTCGAAATTAAACTTGGAACACACACGCAAAAAAGAAATCGCAGTACTAGAACAGTGTGTTACACTTGTATGGTAATGTTTATTCAAAAAAACTGACCAAATACAATCCTCGGAAATGTTATCAGACAACTCCCACTTGGATTCATATTTGGAGTAGCCACTCCACTAAACCAAATACTCTGTATCCTGAAAAAATCATAAAACACAGTGCTTCTGAGAACTTGGCAAATAGTAAAAAACAATTAAAAGCCACAATCGAATATAAAATATACTTTTAGGAAAAGGGCCTGGATATTCAGATCAAATTCTAGGACCTTTAACGGAATATCTCACTGAATTTAAACGGTGCTTTTTTTTTCATACGCCTCGTTTGTCAAGACGCTAAATCAATCAATCAATTCTTTATTTGATAAAGCAGGTTAAAATTAGAAATATTACTGAAATAGTAGTTGTATCGGCAGCTATCAGCTCATGTGGACCTGCTATGTAACTATTTAAATTATATGAAGTAAAATATAAACTAAAATTAGCTTTAAAAGATGTAAATAAATGGCCGGGTATTCTGAAATTGCTCTTGGAGGTTTTAACTTTTCTTATTCTAAATCTAACCAGAGCGGCCAAGCGATGAAAACGGGCCGCAAAGTGACGAGCGAACAGATGAAACTCAAATGAGCTTATTTGTTTGCTCACCTCAATTCCTTCCCGTTTCGAAATGAGCCGCTCAACCTCATAAACATCCTTTCTCTTTCTCTTCTTCGGCCGTTAGTCCTTGTATTAGTGACTAAGGAGATCCACTGTTGACGTGTTTTGTTATTTTTTGTCATCCATAATCCATCTAAAAGACACGGTCGAAGCGCTCAGCAGTCGCAGCATGTGCGATTTAATTGTGCTGGTCGTCTCTAGAGCCTGCGTTTCGGTCAGCGGTGCGGCGCGCAAAAGTGAAATGAATTTCTGGCCAAGTAGCCTTTTCAAGTAGAGGATAAGGTTCGATGCATTAGATGGGAGTTTTGAAAATTGGTGAATATCAAAAAGGAAATGTCCTTGGGTAATCCGTAAACTTTGAAGGGGAGGATTTTCGTCTGAACAAATTAAAGATATCTGTTGAACTGTGCTCGATGATATCCCATCGATAGCCGATAACACATAATACATGTGTACATGACAAAAAATTAAAA